GACCTGGTGACAGGACTCGTGGTCGAAGCACCGCGGTTGGTGGAGGCATTCTTCACGCTCTGTAAGAACTTCAAACGACCCATCTCAATATCCTTGGCGAATTGAAGCTGGACCTCGGAACTGGAAAGTTTGCGTCGGGAATGGTCGGCGTCCTCAACCGACTTGAAGCCGTGAAAACCGAGGATCGGATAGTAAACTGCAAAAGTTCAGGTCGGAAAAATCAGGCACAAAGGGGGGAACACATCAAGACCCAAGGCCAGAGTTAATGGAAGAACAAGTCGACTCACCAGGAACGAACGTCTTAAACGGGCGGGGCGAAGAAAGTTCGGCTTTCGCTAATTCAACCTCCTTCAACAACTTACGCCAACTACCATCAGAATGCGGAACTTTCGCAAGATCCTGAAGCCTCTCAGCGAACTCGGCGGAGAGCTTGGGTTCCTTCTTCCTCCGGGCTACAAATATCAAAAGTTCCGACCTGTTAGCGAAAAAGAAAGCCCGTGGTTAGGAGATGAAGTGTAGAATAAAAAGAAAAACTTACTATAAACGTCGACAACTCGGCTCGGGACGGTCATCCCATCAATTTTAGGCTCGGCTAAGAAGTCGGCCGACTCCCAATCACCACCAACCCAGAACCATTCCTCTTGGAAGCCGTGTAGCGTATCGGGAATCCCGGTGATCAGTTGACCGACCTTCAGGTCTCCTAGCGCCTTGGCAGAACAAAAGAAGCAGCCAGAAGGCGGCACACCGTCCCACTCCCGACTTCGCTTGAAGAAAAAGATACTCCGAAATTCGTTTATCGACGGGAACGGCAACTTGTTCTGAATGCAGAGGACCAGAAGTCCGATGATTTTCTTCCAACTATTTGGCGTGATCTGGCTGATGCCAATTCCCCAATCCCGGAGATAGTAGGTGATGATGTTGGGAAGGGGGAACCGAAGCCCCGACCTAATGGTTTCAGCAAACACCCCCACACAACCGGGAGGGGGAAAATGAATTCTCTCGCCGGGATATGGGGCGAACATCTTCACAGTGGAGGGAATTCGCGCCGACTTCCTCAATAACACCACGTCGGCATCTATCATCGTGCTGGGCTCGCCCGGAAATGGGACGCTGACGTCGGCCCAACGCCGAGGAGGGCGATTCCAGAAGCCTTCACGGACA